GATTCCACAATTGGATAACGTATCATACAAATATTCAAAATTATAAGTTACCTTACTCACAACTCTTAGTAACTACACTGTACAATTCAAATTCCTCAGTTTAACAAGCCCCCAATCTAGAATGATCGATTAATAAACTACAAAGTTCAGCCTGAACTTGAACTAAAATTAAAACCCTAAAAGAAATCAAAAGTAACTCTCCTTCGTTGATGTCATACGACAACTGCCGATTGAAATTGCGGTACACAAATATCCGACGAAACGATAACAAGGAAAAAACTCAATTATATCCTCCTATAGGAGTTATAGTACGTGAATCCGTCCTAATTACTGCGGAATCCTGAATTTAATGAATCCAATCGCCAGAGATGAATGAATATGGATGATGGCAATTCCATGCGTTCTTCTAACTCACGCTGTCAGTTGTTTGTGTAACTCGATACGGGTACTTTATCGCGCGCGGCTAAACGCAAATTTTTTCTTTTCCTTTCTTATTTCATATTCCATTTTGTAGCCAATTTCTGTTTTATCCACTCCTTTCCACCTCTCCAAGTCCAAGTCCTTCCATATTATACTTTAATAGTCTTCACTCTTCTGTCAGTATAAAATATATCTGCCTGCAGTAGAGACCAACCGGTGCTTTCCATGCCGCCTTTCAACTTTGATTCTCAAAAACGAGCTTATTGTTTCACTAATTGTCAGCTGTTCGGGCGCCTTTTATAAATCGATCGAGTTCTCGGCAACGGAACGCAATTTTATTCGCACTACCGTGTTATGCCTGCATCGTATCATCGTGTGTAATTAGGTCAGCCGGTAATGTAGAAACTCATCTATGGCGCGCTTGGCCTGATAAGATGGCGGTGGACTCCCCCAAATGAATTTTCCTTGCGTAATATTGAGAAAATAAAAAATTCGGCGGTTTCCACTCAGGAATATCGATGTACAAAGTACAATTCGGTAGGTAATACTAATAATGAAGAAAAGAGTAAACCAGTAGTAAGAAGTAAGAAGTAAGACACCTAAATATGATTATTCAAAGTCAAAGGGTAAATGCGTAATTTTTGTTAACATACCAAAAACAGCCTTAGAACTTATAATAAATCCGCAAATGCATCAGCGAAGTGTAACAAGAGAAAATTTCACTAAACTTAATCCCAAAAGGTTGACAAAATTTTTAAGTAACTGTAATGGCGTGTATGTTCTTCTAGAAATAATGATCGAATTTCGTCTTTGTATAAAGAAGTGCGTGCGTCGAAAGAAATTTAAAAAAAATTGCAGCACCTCCGTCGGCGAAACAAAGAACATCGTAAAAGCCTATACTAAAATAATAAATTTACTACTGGAATTAACTTGCATCTAAAACTAGTGGATTACACACGAAACGCCTAGATGGCGTAAGAATATCAAGTAAAACGTCGAATTTTAATATAAACGAAAGTAAGAACACCAAATTTGGATTACGAGCCAAAAGAACGTAACATTAAAAATGCACTGACGTCTAGTGATGCCACAGCATAGACTTTTTAGCGCATTTTTTTAATAATTAAATTGTTTGTGTTTTATCCGTCTGTCTGTCCGGGCCTCCTTCTGCAGTTTTTAATTACCAGGAGATGCCGTTTTTGAAAGGAAAGTAAAACGTGCCTAACTTTTACATGCGACAACCAATTAACTATTGTCAATGGGGAGGGGCGATGGGTATGTTGTACCCTTCATGGCTTTCTAATGAAAGGTCTCATCGAATTGAATCGGTGTCTCCAAACTATAACTTTCCTGCGCGACTCCTTTTCGAGATCAGAGGGTGACGGGGGGTGGGGAGTTGGGATAGAAATTGATTTCATCTTTCGTGGTATTCTAATTAAACGTCTCAACAAAAGGAATACTTCTACCAATCAGACTCCTTTTCGACCTATCGTTATCGGTTATAATTCCTTATATTTGAAAAGCTGATTGTCGGAGGAGGGTACTCACAAAGGGTGATTGGGACGTTTAGAAGAAATATATAGGCCTTTCGGGGGACGTAACGGTTCGACGGACGAGGTGTTTCGGCGGCGAGACTTTTCGGCGATCTGATGATTCGGTGGAGCACAATTCTGCGGATTATTTATTTACTGGGTGACCCAATAAGACTGTTCCTCAGCTATATCTCGAGAACCGTTCGTCATATGACTTAGGGGTAAACAAAAATTATTGGGTAAATCTGTCATGAAGAATCGCTTGAAAATATTTTCAAGTTCTAAAAATTACCACTAGAGGGCGTAACTGCCAACTTAAATTTTAAAATTGCATTTTCTTTAAATTTCGCATAATAAACTAAACATTATTTTTTTCACATTTTTAAAGAAAACCAGTTTATCTATCATTTTCGTAAAAACAAAAACTCAATTATTTCAAAAAACAAAGATGATGTGGGGCGTTTAATTGCTGTTGCAATAACCTACTTTAACTTCTTAACCGTTTGACCGATTGTAACAAATTTGGTATCGTTGAAAAGAGCATTCCTTGGGCAATAACAATCAACCATATAGTTAATTTAGTTGAATCCTTCTCCCCCAGGGGGCTAGTTTTGACACTATGATCCAAAATCCTAAAAAAATCAAATGAAATGATATGACTTTTTCTTTATGAAAAAGTAGCCAAATAACATCCAAAGAGGCCAGTGAAAACCGTTTTTCAAAATCTCGTTCCTAACCTCGAAATATGGGAAAATTACCGGAAATACGTCAAATAAAATACAATTTAAGCATTTTTATTAATTAATTAATTAATCTCATTTTACCAATATTTGAGGTTAGGAACGAGATCTTGAAAAACGGTTTTCACTTGCCTCTTTGGATGTTATTAATTATTAAAGATGAGAGAAATTTAAGAAAAAGTCATATCATTCCATTTGATTTTTTTGATTTTTTTAGGATTTTGGGTCATATTGTCAAAACTATTCCCCTGGCGGGAAAGGATTCAACTAAATTAATATATTTTGGTTGATTCTTGTTGCCCAAGGAATACTCTTTTCAACGATACCAAATTTGTTACAATCGGTCAGACGGTTAAGATGTTAAAGCAGGTTATTGCAAAAACAATTGAACGCCCCACACTTTGTTTTTGAAATAACTGAATTTTTGTTTTTACGAAAATGATAGATAAACTGGTTCTCTTTAAAAATGTGAAAAAATAATGTTTATAATTTATAATGCGAAATTTAAAGAAAATGCAATTTTAAAATTTAAGATGGCAGTTACGCCCTCTGGTGGTCATTTTTAGAACTGAAACATATTTTCCAGCGATTTACCAAATAATTTTTTTTATCCCTAAGTCATATGACGAACGGTTCTCGAGATATGGCCGAGGAACAGTCTTATTGGGTCACCCGGTACATGCTGGTTTAGAGCAAAGACAGTTTCTACCATTAGTAATAATGATAATAATAATAAATCATTGGAATTGACACAGAATAATCACATAAGGTACATGAACATTATACCACACGGTCCTTCCAGTTTCCCCCTAGGGATTAAGGTTCAGATTGTCAAAAATTTTAACCGTCTGGTCTACCATTAGGCTCGAGTACTGGCGACAAAATTTCAAACTCATATAGATAATCCCAATACCATCGATCCGTATGTGATCGATCGGATTAGGAATAAGCTTGATTACCAGCGACAAAATTTCGAATTCGTATAATCCGAATGCCATCAACCCGCATGTGATCGGATACGGATCGATGGTATGTATAGGGATTACCTATGAGTCCGAAATTTTGACGCTAGTACTCAAGATTCAAGATTGGATTTGGATTCAGAGAAAGCCGTGGAAATGAAATACAATAATTTTACATGACCGATACTTCTATCTCTCTCTGTCAAAGCCAACTCGAGTCACTTTTGATTATAATCCGCCGATAAGTGCGGCCGTTCGTTCTGGAAGTCGCTTGGTCGCCGTTTCCACGTCAGTTAGAAACAGATTGCACCACAAAATTTTGATAAATTGAATGATAGTTGTCAGTGCAAAAAATAGGCAGGCCAATGTGTAAAAATCGTGTAGGTACTTTATCTAAATCAGCGAAAACTTGTACCCAAATTTATACACCAAAAATACTTCATCCAACTGTTGCAGTTTTAATGTTATTGTTCATTTCATGATCATAATGTAGATTTTTCAGAAGTGCTATACCACTGGGGTTTGGTTTTAGGGCGACTAGACGGATTTTTCTGTCTAAGCGGATCGTTCCTCTTCTTTTTCAGATCGTATTGCCTAGGCAATGAGAAGGAACCAGAACGTTTTTCACACATCGCACTCATCTTTCTGAAGTAGGTAGTGAACAACACGTTCATACGGTTTGTGGCGTTTGCAAAAAAGTGTGCTTGCGGAAACACACCACAAACCGTAATCTGTTGTGTATGCGGTGAGGACAATCTATAACCCAAACGCGAATGTTTACATTTTGATATTTGTCTATTCCATTTTCATCCCGACCGATGACTTTCGATCGGAGCAATTGAAATGCGGAGGGTAATTGGCGAGTCTTAAATTTTAAATACGCTCCAACGTTGAAATAATCAACTTGCAAATTCAGCGTGTGTGTGTGTCGATCGTATTGGCGCACGGCCTAAAATTTGTAAACGGCGGCGTCGAACGGAAGCCATCAGACCAGTAGTGCAATGATTTCCTCCCCATGTCATTTCCGTTACCATTAATACTAAATTATTTGTAGAATTTTGTGTACGCTGATGACCCAACATCTGTTAATGATTTGTCCTAATTAACTCACACCACGACATCTAGTTTCGGTTACGCATAAATTGTTCTGTACGTAAACCATTCGCAACCCCTTCGACCGACGGATCGGAACAGTGACGGAATTACCGATGCGATGGGATGCCCTTTTCGAAATTGAATTGATCAAACTAATACATTATGTTGAATTTTAATGCGCTAACGGTTACTAATTAGTCTGAGCTTGTGTGATTTATTTAAGCGAAATTTAACAGTTGTTCACATTTCAGGTGCTACACAATCGTATAGGGCGTTAGGATTAGGGCACCGTCCATTCCCGGACGCGCCGTTCACGTCGCACTTAAGAGAACTGGAGACGCTAAGGCGGAGGGCGCCATCGTCGCAAAGCGGCGACGGTTCGCAAAGTTCCTACAAAACAGACTCGCAAGGTAAACTCATTTCGCTTTTACAGTTAGCCGTAAATTAAAATCTAATAAACTTTTTCGAGAGGCCCCGAAGAACGGGGACCGCCTCACGACCGCCACGGCGAAGTCTAATGAAAAATTAAATCATTTTCGGGTCCATTTTCAAATGCGTGTGGGCCTTAATGGTGTAAGAAATCTATTACGCTATATATGTACATAATTTGCCGAAAGTAGTAATCAGAAGAAAAAGTGGTGCACAGAAACGCTCAAAAAAACCGGTAGAAATTCGTGTCATTATTTTTACATTCAGGTAGCTTCTTATTGAAATAACTTAGCACATTACAGTAATTATAGGTTGGCTCGGTGATGTTATTGTTTCAGAGTTTGATTCCCGTCGGAGTGAAATAATAAGATAGAAATTGAAACGTAACAACCTGTTGAATATTGAGTTATGGAAGATTATGGCATTCTTATATAGCCGTGTTCATTCATGCTTTAATTTCTTTATTGTGTGTATTACGAATAATTCCGCAAAAAAAACGGCTTGTATTTTCATTCTATTCAATAATTTTTTTGGTTAATGTCTATATTGCTAATTTCAATCTCTTCAAATAAATACCAAAGATAAATTAAACGATAATTGTAAGCGAAAGATGAAGATGTTTCCAAAATGTATGAAAGCCGTCACCTATTACAGTGAAAAATGCCAATCATTATCAATGTATACCAACATTTCAGTTAACCGGAACCGTAATTGAGACTCAAAAACTCTCTATCGAAAAATTTTCGTGAATCTGTTTCTCATCATAAAAGCTAAAAAACGGTTAACATAAATAATAAATGCAAAATTGTACAAAATAGTTAGAAGATACTTGACATTAATTAGTCTACATGTACGAAGAAGTAATTATATAAAGCTTTGAAAGAAAATTAGGATTTAGGGGTGGAAGTTGGCAGATGCCCAGACGCTTGGGCTTAATATTTGGCCTTCCATGAACTAGAGCCGTACGTCCTTGGTCACTCGTGGAGTAACTTGTCTGACTAAAATTCCCCCAACATGGAGCTCTCTATTCTACCAGTGACAAAAATGTGCTGAGGCTTACATTCCATCCACTATAAAAAAGAACTTTTCGAGCACTGATCATTATCCCCACCAATTACGACTTGAAATGGATACAGTTGTAACGACATAGTTCCATTTACATGGGCGCTGAAATTAATTCCAAATTTCCAAATCAATTAAGCAAATGCAAATGGTTCTCATAGGTCGATTTCTTTAGGAACATTGAAATTACTCCAAACAAATTCATTATGCAAATTCCTAAAAACAAACGACCCAGTACTTTACGCAAATCAAAATAACTTACAGTAATTCACGTGGATGAAATTTCTTTCACGTTACAATTGATCTTTCTTCTCCTTGGAAAATGGCGTTCCCTTTAGAAATATCGAAATAGACGCTTCAGTGGTACAGTTGACTCCGTAATGGATGAGAAAGCAAAAATGCCCCTACGTAATGCGAATCTGAGCAAACCGCCTTCAATTTCGCGGGATCGTAATTATGCAATAGAAAAAATATCAATATTCCGATGTGCTGATACTAATCTTGCCCAGTTTGTGTTTTGGATAAATGCACAGATTATTTGTCTTTAAATTCCCTGCCGTATGCCGTTGTATACAAAATTTTAGTTATCGCACAAGGCGTTGTCAAATGACGCCACTCAAACATTACAGAAGTTGCTGTTAGCAATTCGAAACAGAATCTTCTCTGTTTATTACAAATTAATATCAGTTTATTTATTCGCGCTCCTACTACGAGATGTTAATTCACGTAAATTAGGGCACCACAACACAAAATTAAGTTTACAGGCGACTAGCAGTTTGTCACCAATTTAGTTTCAATTTAACGACGCGCTTTAAACAACTAGCCGGTTTATGTGTTTTCACTCAAAAGAAAACTATAACTCTCACCGGGAAAGATTACCGGTCACAGCACACCTTGTGTCAATTTACAATCTATGTTTTTTTTAAGATGCGAGCGACTTCCGGAATAGGATCGTGCCAATGTTGAACGAAAAGATTTTTCGTTGAAAATTGTAGACCGGGATCAGGTCTTCTGTGACCAGCAATCTTTCCTGGCGAGAGGTTTAGTAACGCGCTACAGCGTCTATATGAACTCGCACAAAAACATGGTGCGTGGTGGCTCTTGAATGTTTCTTCGCCGTAAAACTTGGCAATTGCACGAACTAAAATTTCTCGTACACCAAATAGCACGCGCCTTCGCTATTTCGCTCAATTTCTGCGCACTTAAAATTTACGCACAGTGACGTGATCACCCGCAAATTCGGCTTCGGATATAATTTTTAAAGCATCCGTTTCGATTCACGAACTCAAGCAAGAATCTTCGCAATTTGAAACTCGCCCGGTAGAAATACTGAAATGGGTCTTCCTTTCTGAACAATACGATTGCGACTAGGGTACCCTTTTAAACGAACAGTAAACTTGATTTTTGTCAAGTGCTCGGCTTGAAACAAAACGAAACGAAACTGATCCTAAAAGATCGTGGCTACCGCGTTCGTTTTCCTCAATACACTTCTTGTTATCGCTTGTTATCATCAGACATACCTTTATTCACGTTCGCTATGAAGCGGTACATGTCTAAATTTTCCTACGCTGAACAAAATACAAATTCGAAAAAAATACTTTTCTTAATTTTAAAACAGATTGGAGTGAAAGTACAAGTGCCCACTCTTCCATCTAGTCGCTTAATAGAATGCAACAGTGGCCATCGCCCACCAATCTCGTTATTTTCAGTCGAAAGGTTGGTCTCAGGGCCTTGTTCTGCACATGAAAATCCTGTGAAAACACCCCCAAGAGCTGTAAAGGTGGCCCCGTGCATGCATGAATAATAATTAATGAATCAAATATAAAACCTCGGAATGCAAGTAAATTTAGGGCCCCGCCGCTTTGTGCATTTTTTTTGGTTAAATTTACCAAAAATGATATATTAGAGGGTGAAAATTCTGCTGATGCACCTTATATAATTTATTCCGCACTCTTTATTGGGTTTAAATTTAAAGAACATAGTGGGGAATTTGAGAACGTGGGAGCAACGATTTAGAAAAAATTGAGCAACGGAATTCGATAGAAATTTGGAAGGAAAAAACTTGAGAAGTACGAGTACGAGGGATTGAGGTAAGTTTGGGGGGAAATGTGAAGATAACTTGGGCAGAACTCTAAGAAGACTTTTGGGAATTTAAATGTTTAAGAAAGGAAAGTGAGGATAAAGGATAATGGAATATCCGAAGAAACATATCTATGGGTGATGTGAAAACTTAAGTGAAAGTATCTCGAAAACGGTGTCAGAAGAAGATACTTACAAAAGGAAAATGAAATATTGCGGAAAATTTCTTTTTAATAGTGTTACATACATCAGTCATATATCTAAAATAAGTTCGAGTTGAATTTAGGGGTAGGGGGTCCGAGCGTATTTCCAAACACCCCTCTATTTCATTTTCATTGAATTTATCCGTTATTAAAATCAAACCCTGCATAGTGATATATAATATTCCCGACATTGGTGCCAACTTCACAATTTTAAGGTTCCTACAAGTATTTCGGGTTGAATATAATGGTAGTGAATCACTATTTTGTATAGTTCTACGTTTTCGCAAAAATCGCCGTTTTTTATTAGGTTTAGGCGTAGGACAGAAAAGGCGGGGCGCATGTTGGGCCGTAGGTAAACGTCGTTTGCCGCCGCGAACGGGGAGAGACGGGTCTACGGGAGAGCCCTAGCTATGCCGAACTCGCCTTCGGCTCGCTAGGCATTGGTGTAGGAAAAATGCGAGCAGTTTTTCGTCGCGAGAAGGGCGAGCTCGAGCTATGCCGAGCTCGCCGTCGCTCGGCATTGGTATGCATTTCGCATATTGTGGCCGGATCCGTTTATCGACCCCGACATTCGGGACGGCGGTTGGTTTATGCCGAACTCGCCTTCGGCTCGCTCGGCATTGGTATATTAGGCGCGCGTGTTAAGAATCGAAAGTCCTAGATTATTTTACTTCGTTAGGGGGAAGGGTTATTAAAAATGTTTGTTGAAATTTGTATTTCAAAAAAGTTAAACAAAAATTTCTCAAACGTACAAATAACGTAATGTACAACGCTGCTTGGTGTGATGTTCTGTTTACCTTCATTTTTGTTTGAATTTGTGTATTAAATTAAAAAAGTAAAAAAAAGTTTCTTAAACCTACAAATAACCTAATGTCCGAAGCTGCTTGGTGTCACACTCTGTTTAGCTTCATTAAGAATTTTTGTATGAGTGTGTAGTACAAAAGAAATTAAAAAAATAATCGAGGTTGAGGAGCGAGTCTACCGGAGAGCCCTTCGGCTCGCTCGGCATTGGTATGAAAAAAAGTGTAGTGTGTGTTTGGCTGTTGATAAATGTCGTTTGCCACCGTGGACGTAGAGAGACGAATCTAAGGGAGAGCCCTAGCTATGCCGAACTCGCCTATTGGTGTAAAAAAAATGTACTGTATGTTTGGCCGTTGGTAAATGTCGTTTGCCACCATGGACGGAGAGAGACGAATCTAAGGGAGAGCCCTAGCTATGCCGAACTCGCCTTCGGCTTGCTCGGCATTGGTGTAAAAAAATGTACTGTGTGTTTGGCCGTTGGCAAATGTCGTTTGCCACCGTGGACGTAGAGAGACGACTCTAAGGGAGGGACAGAGTTATGCCGAACTCGCCTTCGGCTCGCTCGGCATTGGTATACGAGGCGCGTGTAGTAAGAATCGAAAGTCTTTAGTTAGTTTACTTGGTTGGGGAGAGAATTTTTGTTTGAATTTGTATTTCGAAAAAAGTTTAAAAAAAATTTCTTAAATCTACAAGTAACCTAATGTCCCAAGCTGCTTAGTGTCACACTCTGTTTAGCTTCATTTAGAATTTTTGTTTGAATTTATATTTTAAAAAAAATCCTAAATCTACAAATAATCTAATGTGCAAAGCTGATTGGTGTCACATTTTGTTTAGCT